CTCTGTGTAAGCACTGCTCAGCAGCAACTAAAACATCCCTGTGTTATCAACGCTGTTTTCAGCACAAATCCAAAACATAGCCCTATGCTAGCTACTGTGAAGACAATCACTCTATCCCGGCCAAAACCAGCACAGAGATCTTGTGTTTCTCCTTAAAAAGGTCATCCAGATGGGGAAGAAAGTATATAGATTGCCCTTTAACAACTTGAATTGGGCTGACCAACTTCGACCATCAAATGTCACCAGAATATGCTGTGGGAGGAAATACGAGCTGAATAACAAGCTCCTAGCGTAACTTTAAAAACACAGCAAAGCAGTGCATACTTCTAGTTAGCCTGTGCAATGCTGGAATGACATTTCTGTAGGAAGATAATTTCTTATGTTATTGCTAAAGCAGTACTGCATAAGTTCCAGATTTTCAGAAGTTGCATCTGACATTTGTTTGAGAGTGGAGAAACGAGAGAAGGCTGCAAGTCCTGTTCGGAAGTGTTTCTGCTCACACATCCCCTTCAGTGGAGCTGAGCTGATGGGAACAGTTGCAATTATTAGCAATTCCCTATTTGTTCAGAGTGTTTTGAACCATGGCTGTTACTTCAAGATCTCTTCTGAAATCTTTCGTGACTTCGCTACATGCTTCCCTCTCTAAAGGAGCAATGAACCACAGTTTGAGCTATGAAATTTAAAAGTTTTAGGATTTTGCTGTGTGGGGACCTAACTGCAGGGTAAACTCTAAACTCGGAGTGACCCTGGTCCTAAAGTCCAGAAAAACTCTGTGCTTGAACCTCGGGGTGAGAAAAATGGTGCTGATCTGAGTGTAAGTGGTTGGAGAATACCTCAATGCAATCACATCTAATACCTGTAATTCAGACTGTTCCAATCAGGTAAGCCAGGAAAACCATCCAAACCTGAACTGTCCAGTCCAGAAGCCTTCTGAAAGAGCTTCAGTGCTTTAGCAGCGCTCCATAGTAGAACATTTACTACAGTAGTTACCTGCCTAATAGCAAAAGTGGGCATCCTCTAGTTCCTTCCACTTAACAGAAGAATGTTATTTATTTATTTTTTTTTTCTTTTGTGCTTGGTGTTCTTTGCCTTTGTCATAGATGCAGCTAGTACGATCTTGGCGTTAAATACATCTTGCTTTGAAACTTCTATGATGAAAAAAATGCATGAGCTGGACTGTCTCTCTTGCTAAGTGCTCACAGTTGCCTTGTTGCCTGCTGTGCGTGCTCCTGAAATCCGGCGAGGGCACGGCGTGACCTGGTAGGTGTGCTCCAGACCCTGCACAAGGCGCTTGCAGTGCCTGCGCCCCTGTGTCAGCACTGGGGATTGGCTTTCACAGGCCACCTTTTCTGCCGCAGCTGGGCTACGGTATAAGGGAAGAAGTAGTCATAAAGTATGAGAAAAGGGCAGAACCAGACTATATTTCAGCGGATTAATGAATTAGCAAGAAACTTTAATACACAAATGTAAATAGCACGGAGACAAGAATCATCTGCTTTGGGGGACGAGAACTGCAGTGTTAAAACAAGTTTTGGTTTCCTTCTGTTCGTTTGCTTGCTTGCTTGTTTTTAAAGACTACAGAAAGGAGGCTTTTGAAATTACTGGGCTGGAGAGTGGGTGCAATGAAAGGAAGAGAGATTGTCATGAATACGCATTTGATGGGAGAAGTATTTTAAAGAGCTTAGGAACTGCAGATTTGCTGGGAAAGCGTGAACAATTTCTCCAACTTGACTCTAATAGTGGCACTTTTGGACCCTTCAGGAGTTGTAAGATTGTTTATATAGTGCTTGCTTCTGTATGTG